GGAAGGGGGAGGAAAAAATAATATTTTTTTTTTTTTTTTTTTTGAGACGGAGTCTCGCTCTGCCGCCCAGGCTGGAGTGCAGTGGCCGGATCTCTGCTCACTGCAAGCTCCGCCTCCCGGGTTCACGCCATTCTCCTGCCTCAGCCTCCCGAGTAGCTGGGACTACAGGCGCCCGCCACCGCGCCCGGCTAGTTTTTTGTATTTTTTAGTAGAGACGGGGTTTCACCATGTTAGCCAGGATGGTCTCGATCTCCTGACCTCGTGATCCGCCCGTCTCGGCCTCCCAAAGTGCTGGGATTACAGGCTTGAGCCACCGCGCCCGGCCAATAATATTTATTAAGTTCCAACGACGTGTTGGGTGCCTTTGTTTTCTGTATCCTATTTAACCCTCAGGTGATCTGCCAAAAAGGTATAATTGTTCCTGTTATGCAGATGAGAAAATGGAAGCCCAGAGAAGTGGAATGACCTGACCAAGGCCACTCAGTAAGTTCATGGCAGAGCCAAGGTCAGGGCTCATTCTACTCAGTCTTGTTCCTTGCACATTGCTCTGCGGGGGACAGGCATAGTCATGCCTGGAGCTCTCAGGAACTCAGGATCAGGTGTGATCTGATGTGTCCACTCTTTCTGGAAAAAGGCTCCATCTACCTATCAATATCTATTGCATCCCTACTATGTGCCAGGCACCATGTGAGGAGCTATAGATCCCAGGACATGCAACACTGTTTCATGGGAGACAGACTAGAAAATCAACAATAATAAGAATTTGATATGTGTTCTGATGGACGTATTCAGCTGGATGGTGGGGGTTAAAGTGGAGGTGAGGTCGGGAAATACTTCTAAGAGTGAGTGAGCATTCATCTATGACTTCAAATCTCAAGGTGGACAAGCAGGGAAAGAGCATCCAGGGGCAAGGACCAGCATGGGTAAAGGCATGCAGTGGGAGAGCAGAGTGAGCATGGCCCTTCGGGATCCCTGCACGGCTGGCAGAGCCAGCTCTTGGGGACAGGAGAATGACTTGGGCCAAGGCTAGGCCTGAGACCAGGAGGACTCACTGAAGCAGGCAGGGGGAACTTAGGGGAATATTGTTTTCTGAGCAAGACATTGCTGCCCATACCTGGGCAGGGACAGACTGTTGACAGTAATCAAACCTGAACTGAAAAGATGGGATGGCACCCGGTACCAGGGCTCAGGACCAATGCAGCACAAAGGCGGTTAGGAGTAGGGTTTCTGGAGCCAGTCTGCCTGCAACTCAATGCTGGCTTAGTGTGACCCTCGGAAACAGACATGACTTCTCCATGCCTCAGTTTCTCCCCTTCAAAATAGGATAAGAAGAGTACCTACTACAAAGGTTTGTTGGGAGATCTAAGTAAGTTCATGCACATAAAACTCTTAGAACAGTATGTGGCATATAATAAAAGCCTCATACATGTAAACTGCTGAAGAGTTCTCACTTATCTTTCCTTCCACCTTATAGGCTTTGCCACCTTGGACAAGTCTCTAATCCTCCCAGTAATAGGGGATCTGCGGGCTCTTGGCTCACCATAGGTGCTCAATGATTAGCAGCTGTCATTATTGCTTCCGCCATCATTATCACTATCTCTGAAATAACAATGCTTTGCCTTCCCAGGGGAGCAGGAGTCACAGCCACCATCCCCTCACCACGACCTGTCCAGACGGGCTGACATGCCACCCAGGCAGGCAAGACAAATGGACTTGCCACCTACACGGAGCACACGTGCACACCAGGGGCACATAGCCCAACTTGTTAGCACAACAGGGCTCCCTTCTTTTCGGCGCTGCTTCTCTGCTCTGCATGTGCTTTGCTCAGAGTGGAGGTCCCCGTTATTTATGTTTGGAAAATGCATTCAGGGCAGTTCCCAGAAGCACTTACAGAGCTCTTATTTAATTGCTACTTTATAAACTCACTGCTCCGAAGAGTGAGGGATTGATGGCCCGGCCTGGCACCTGGAGTGGCCTTGCTGCAAATGCTTTTCCGAGAATGGTCTGGGAGCCGTCCTCCAAGAAGTCCGAGGCCTACACCCAACTCTGGAGGGCGCTGTAGGACTCGTCACCCTAATCTCCAGCTTTGGGATGGCAGCAGTTGCCGGTGTGGTCACATATACACACACGTACACACACACATGCACACACGAAGACCTCCCATCAGTTCAAGACCAAGGATGTGCAGGGGTAGGAGAGGCCTGTCACTCACCATTCAACCTCCCTTGCCATACACCTGCAAAACCCCAGCCATGAGGATATCCCAGGTCCCAGATTTGGCCGGGCGGGACACTTTTTTCAGGTCCCACCAAGCCCATCTCCCATTTGCCTCATACTCATGCATTGGGGTCCAGCAGGCTGGGCTGGTGTCCCCAGCTCTCCCACATTCAGAGTGAGTTATTTAATCTCACTGAGCCTTGGTTTTCTTACTTATAAAATGTGGTTTGTAGATTCCATTTCTCAGCATCATTGAGGGAATGAAATGAAATTATTATGGTGCCATTCCTGGCATGTAGAAATAGAAGATCAATAAATGTTATTTATTGGATTTCTACAGCCACAGAAATAAAGGATCAAGTGTCTTTCTTGAAGCTCTGAGATTCAACAAGGTTAAACCTCCCATCCAGATAAAATATGGGACTTCATAATGATTCCTTTTATTTATGCAGTCACTGTACACCATACTATCATACTTTATGGTTCCCCAAAAGCATTTTACAAGCCTTGTCTCAAATGACCTTCACTAGCCATCAGGGTATTGATTATGCACCTCATTTTACAGATGAGGAGCTGAGTGAGGCTCATGTAGGCGGGATGACCATTGGTCAGTCAACCAATTTCTGTCTCCAAATCTTGCTTGCATTCCTTTACACCACATTACCTAGCCCACTCTCAGCTAGACCAAGGCCCATTTGTGCCTCCAAGATGGCTCTCAGTGATCCCCCTCTTCTGGGTTCATATCCTTGTACAGTCTTCTCCCATAGCGAAGAGGACAGACCTGAATAGCCAAGAGGACAGACCTGAATGTGGAAGTGACAGCATGTGACCTCCAAGGCGAGATCATAACAGACATCGCTACTTCTACCTTGCTCTCTCCATCACTCCCCATGGGGGAAGCCTGTCGGTATAACACTCAAGTAGCCCTATGGAGAGGTTCTTCGGGTGAGGCACTGAAGCTTTCTGCCTAACACCAAAATAAATTTGCCAACCACAGGACCAAGCCATCTTGGAACTGGACTCTCCAGTCAAAAACCAAAACTTCCACCTAATCCTGACTACAGCCTCACAAGAGGTCCCCAAGCTAAAACCATCCAACTCTTATCATCCTTACCTACTTGCATCCTACACATTACATGCATTTATTTCAGACTACACTGGTGCTATAATTTGTTTTGTTTTGTTTTTTGAGACAGAGTCTAGCTCTGTCACCCAGGCTGGAGTGCAGTGTCGTGATCTTGTCTCACCGCAACCTCCACCTCCCAGATTCAAGTGATTCTCATGCCTCAGCCTCCCAAGTAGCTGGGATTACAGGCATGTGCCGCCACACCCAGTTAATTTTTGTATTTTCAGTAGAGGTGGTGTTTCATCATGGTGGCCAGGCTGATCTCAAACTCCTGGCCTCAAGTGATCTACCCACCTTGGCCTCCCAAAGTGCTGGGATTACAGGTGTGAACCACTGTGCCCGGCCCAATACTGTAATTATTATACATATTTACTCTTTTTGTTGGATACTTTTATTCTACCATTTGTCTGTAGGGTGTGTTTGTTCACTTCCCAGATAAAGGCCACACTATCACTTCTGTGTGTGCGTAGCCCCCTCAAAGGAGGATTCTAATAACCAGCGTTTTCAAAAAGCAAATGGTTAGTGTATATTTTAACATTTCAAGACCAACACTTCTTGGTCTTCGGCTTGCTTTTCACCTCCCCTGTCCATGACTTCAGCTCAGGCCTGAATTTTTCCCCACTGGACTACAGCAACAACCTCCTAGCTGGTTTCCTGACTTCCGGTTGCACCTTTCTCTGTTTCTTCCACATTAGTGTCATGCAAATACCATCTTATTTTTTTAAAAAATATCTGCTTTAAAAACCCAGTCGCTCCACAGGAGGAAGCCAAGCTCTACAGCATGCCTTACAAGACTCTTCCTGATGGGCCTCCACTCTCCGTTTCTCCCCACTGAATTGTTTCTAGATCCCCAAGTGCATCCTGGCATTCTTGCCTTTGTGCTTTGGCACCAACTGTGCTTTCTCTCAAGGAGCCCATCTCTGCCTTGTCTACCTGGCAAAATTCTATTCATCCTTCAAAACCCACCTCAGTCATGACTGTCTTGAAACCTTCCCCACATCTCCAGGCAGAGTTAGGTCCCCTCTGTGCTCCTGGTTGTATCTCTCTGATAACGCCCACCACTTTGTTAGAATTATACGCTCTCCCCTGCTAGACTGGGATCTCCTAGAGTTCTGTTTATTTTTGTTCTTTCAGCGTCTAGTTCAATGGCTTGGCACATACTACCTAATCAATGAAAATGTATTGAATCAGAAAAGTTTTGTGGCGGGCTGTGGGGGAGGTAATTTTCATTCACTGAGCTAGCATATGTACAGCTCAATGGCATGGTGTTAGGCATACAGGAGGCTTGCCATAAATGTTAAGGTTGGTGCCCTTTTTCCCTTCACCCAGTGCACCAAGGGGCAGGCTTTGTTTGTTTAGTTTAACTGTGGCCCTATGGCTTTTTTTGTTTTTTATTTTTATTTTTATTTTTTTTGACAGAGTCTTGCTCTGTCGCCCAGGCTAGAGTGCAGTGGTGCAATCTCAGCTCACTGCAACCTCTGCCTCCTAAGTTCCAGCGATTCTCCCACCTCGGCCTCCTGATTAGCTGGAATTACAGGCATGCACCACCACACCCAGCTAATTTTTTGTATTTTTAGTAGAGATGACGTTTCATCATGTAGCCCAGGCTGGTCTTGAACTCCTGAGCTCAGGCAATCCACCCTCCTCAGCCTCCCAAAGTGCTGGGATTACAGGCATGAGCCACCGTGCCCAGCCCTATGGCTTCTTCTTTGAGCACTCCCAGCAATTCATAAGAGGGTCTGATTTTCCACTTGCTTTAAACTGCCTGAACTCTGCGGGATGTTGATCCTCCATAGTTTCCATCTCTGCCAGGTCTCCTGGAATCTTTGTGTTTTTCTTTTATAAACCCTACCAATGGGTTTGATAAAGTCATGTAGCATTTCCTTTTCCTATCTTCAGTTCATGCAAACTCACTGCATTCATTCATTCATTCATTCATTTGCTCATTATTATCATGGGAGTTAGAGTTTGATATATACCATAAAGCCTAACTGCCAGGCCAGGGTTCAAATCCTGTCAAGTTCTGTGACCTTAGGCAAGTGACTTAACTTCTCTGTGCCATCAGCTGCCAAATCTATAAAGTGGGGATAGAACAGTGTCTATGCCACAAGGCTCTTGTGAGGATTCTAAGAGATAGTATTGAGAAAAAGCAAGAAGAGCTCAAGAAATATTAGTGTTTATTCATTCAGCAAACATTTCTTTAGTACTTATTAGGGCCAGACCCTGTTTGATGTGAAAGAGAATAAGACAAGTTTCCTGCGTGCTGGAGTTCACAGATCAGTGAGGAAGACAGGGAAAGACACATAATTACAAATGCCATTGAAATACCAAAGGAAGGCATGTTCTCAGTGGTTTACTGGCAGCAAAGAGGAAGGAGTAAATACCTTTGTTGATGAGGGAGTCAGAAATGCATTATTGAAAAAGTGACAGCTCCAGGTGCACACACCAATGAGAGTGGAAAGATAGCTGCAGACTCAGAGGGCCTTCAGTGTCATGCCACTCAGGGAATAGGCACTTGGAGAAACTGAAGCACTTGAGGCTCTGCCATCCTTACATTTGCATTTAAGAAAGCTCACTCTGCGACCAGCTTAGTGGCTACTGCAGTCATCCAGGCAAGATGTGATGCACTAAGACAGGGAAAAAGAAGGAACAAACTTGAAAGACATTTAGAGCAGAAGGTTGGTATACTTCATCTGTAAAAAGCCACACAGTAAATATTTCAGGTTTTGCAGACCATACAACCTGCCGCAACTCCTCAACTCCTCTGTTGCAAAAGCAGTCATAGACAATTTGCAAACAAATAAGCATGGCTGTGTTCCAATAAAATTTTATATTACAAAAGGAGGCTGCGGGTGAGATTGGACCCACAAGCCAGAGTTTGCCAGCTCCTGATTTGAAGGTGAATGGACAGGAATCCACATCCATCCTGGATTGTAGGGAAAGTGTAGGAGAGGGCCAGGATGGAGGATTTCAAGAACCTCAAATGGTCACCAGGTCCAGCACTCTGTTGCTGTGTCTTATGGCTAAACTATGTTCATTCATAATGCAGAATACTACACAACTATCTCAAATGGTCACCAGGTCCAGCACTCTGTTGCTATGGCTAATGGTTAAACTATGTTCATTCATAATACAGAACACAACTATCTCAACTGGTCACCAGGTCCAGCACTTCTTCCTTGCCAGAAGGCCTAGCAATACTCCATATCAAATTATGTTCTACAAAAATATAGAGATTGAGATTCAACAAACTCCTCTGCGTTGGAAAGTTTTTTTTTTTTCTACAGATGTCCCATAGGACTCATGATCCTGCTCCCATCTTTGGAGAGATTGGAGGGCGATTGTGAGACATTGACCCAGGGTGTAACCTTACAGATTGCCCAGCTCCCCATTTCCAACACAGACCAGCTCCAGGCCTATAGAAGAAGTCAGAGCAACCACTTCCCAGCTGAGCTACACAGCAGGGAAAGAGCTGGCTCTGAAGGCAGCACACACACTTCAGCAGCCTGTCTGGATTTATGCAATAACAGACTGCTGGAAAACTGCACATGACTGTAATTTGGGGAAGTCGTAAGTACCAAGAAAGCTGGCTATTTAAAGAAATCATGCAGATAATTCTAACGTGAAGTGTCTCCCATTATATCCTTCTGCAGTGCTGGTAGGAACATCAATTGGTTTGAAACTTTTGAAAGGTGCTTTGGTTGTAACTTTCATAATTTTAAAATACCCCTTTACCCAGCATTGCCTCCTCTAGAAATGTATGCCCTGGAAATATTGGCAAGCACATATGAGCTAGGTGACATTTTTTGTAGCATTCACTGCAAGAGCAAGATTAAAATTTAAATGCTCATCAGTAGGGAAATGGCTAAAGTATGGTTCATTCACAGTACAGAATACTACACAACTATTAAGATTTTGAGATAGACTTGTAGGAATTGACACAAACAGTCCTAATTCATTGTTGTGTAAAAAACAAAAAAGCCAGTCACAGTTCAATGAAAGTGATTTTAGTTTTGAAAAATAACTACGTAAGTACCCCCGTGAATGTATGCAATGCTTAGCAAGGCCAGGACAGGGTAAGGCAGTAAGGCACACCCAGGGAGCAAAATTTAAGGAGGCCCTCACTCTCCAGCTTATAGAAGTATTGACTCTGCCCTGCACAGGCCATAAAGTGAGGGCCTCCTTAAATTTTGCAACCAGGGTGCCTCACTTGCCTCACCCTAATCTGACCCTTATACAGAAAAATGTTTGGGGCCGAAACACAGGTTATCCATGGAGAGAAGTACTGAAAGAATGGCAGGTAGAAATCTTCACTTTTGACTTCATGATGTTTTGTAATGTTCAATTTTTAAATAAAAATATGTGAATTTATTAGGTTATTAACAAAGCAGAATTTCATTTTTAAAACCCACCATCAATTTATCTCATAAATGTAGACTCGCATAAGTTGAGTATTTTCTAAAATGCACATCTTTTTATCACTGTAATAATAGCTAACATTAATTTATTAAGTGCAAGTGTGCCTGGTACTTTCATGATACTGGATAGCATGACCACAGTCACAAAAAATGGTGGCTTAGCCAAGTAGGAGTTGCTTTTTCTCATGTAGCAAGAAGTCTGGAGGTAAAAGCAGTGAGAGCTAGCGTGGCAGCCCCAGTACGTCATCAGCGATGCTATTAATTAGTCAGCTTTCCCAGCTGTGCTGCCATAAGGAATAACCCCAAATCTCAAAGGTCAGTTTTTGCTCCCATTAAACGCCCTTCACAAGTCAGCTGCAGCTCTACCCCTATTATCTTCTTTCTGAGGTCCAAGCAGAAGGAGCAACCCCTCTCTGGGACTTGCGGCCTCATGTCAAAGGAAAAGTAAAATCATGGGATGGCACTGAACTTCTTCTCAAGCAGGGCATAGTCACTTCTGCTCACATCCCACTGGTTAATGCAAGACATACGGCCATGCCTGATTGAATGGCGTGGGAGTGCTGTCCTCTCCCGTGAAGTGGCAGGAGCTGGGGTCCTACAGAAAGGCACTGTGAATATGTTTTTAATAAATCATTCAATCTACCAATAGGGACCAAGGCACCATTGTCTTCTATTTCTAGCATGTGCCCCTTGCCTTCCTGGTCACTAGACTGAAGCTCAACCTTCTGGCATTTCACTTGAACAGTAAGAAAAATGAAAGACAAACAGAGAAATGTATACATCAGCTGACACCACCCTCTTTCACAAGTGTTTTCAAACCTTCACCCCAGTGACTTAAGGGATAACAGGTAGGTAAGTAACAGTACGTGCCACATACACATGATCATGGTTAATCTTCACAACCACCAGGGATGTGATGCTTGCTCCACTTCACAGATGAACGAACTGAGGCAAGAGAATAAATGGCACATCCAAGATCACACAGCTGTTAAGTAGGTGGAGCTGGAGTTCCTCATCCAGGCGTGTCTGTCCCCATGCCCTCTCTGCTGCCTTTCCAGCGACTGGAAGAGATCAACTGTTTGATTGGATTAGCAGCCCTCAATTGTTTCTACTTAAATGCACGTGGGTGTACAGGTGTGCATGTGTTCGAGAGAGAACACATATGTGTGCATGTGCTTGAGATAGATCTCAGCCACGGTTAATGCTGGATCTCAGTCTCCATACTGGATTCCCAAAACGTGACCACATCCTCTAAGCTACCTCTGTCCACATCAGGTGGCATGTCCGTTAGTTTCAGTATAAGCCAGAACTAAAAACTGGCCCAAAAGAAAATCAGTGATATTAATGACAGAGCAGTCAAAGAGGTGCAGAGGTGGAGTAGAAAGTGCTCTGGGCCGGACACGGTGGCTCACGCCTGTGATCCCAGCACTTTGGGAGGCCGAGGCGGGAGGATTATGAGGTCAGGAGTTCAAGACCAGCCTGGTCAGCATGGTGAAACCCTGTCTCTACTAAAAATAAAAAAAAATAAAATAAAAATTGCTGGGCATGGTGGCACGCACCTGTAATACCAGCTACTCAGGAGGCTGAGGCAGAAGAATTGTTTGAACCTCGGAGGTGGAGGTTGCAGTGAGCCGAGATTATGCCTCTGCACCCCAGCCTATGCAACAGAATGAGACTCCGTCTCAAAAAAAAAAAGAAAGAAAAAAAAGAAAAAAGAAAGTGCTCTGGGTCAGAGGGAGAACACCAGAATCTGACTCCCAGCTCTGCCTCACATCATTTATTTAAAAATAAATTTAGGCATATGTCTACATCTCTCCTTGGTATTTTCATCTGCACAAAGGGAGCTACAATGTCTACCTCAAAGCTTTGCTGAAAAAATTCAGTGAAATAACTCAAGCACAATTATCTAGCACAGGTAAGCTCTCTCCAGAAGTTAGTTTTCTTCCCTACTGAGACTTCATCAAAATGTCTTGTAAATGAAATCCCACCCCTCCTTCAATGTGCATAGTCATCCCAGAGCAGTTCTGTCTTGATTTCCCATAGGTTATCAGTTGGTAGAAGCCCTCAACATTACAGTATTTCCAGTCCAATAATATAGCCGACTGGATCAAGTCTTCCTAAGAGATTCTAGAAAAAAAAAAAAAAGAACATCATGAACGTCTTTGTATGATCTGATGCTTTGGCCTGATTACTATTTGGGGGGAATCCACTCTACCACTCTCTCCATTCACTCCATAAACGTACATCAAAGGTTCTTTTCAAGAGACATTGTGAATACTGAAGAAAGCCCTCCAAGTAGACCTGTAAACAGCAGAGCATGTTGGGAGCTAAGTAAGCATTTGATGTATCTGCAGCATAAGTTTTGTCTAAGCTTGGGGTCTGTTTTGAAGACTGACTTGTGTACAGAGCACTCGTCTAGGTGCCAGTGAAAGACCAAGGAGCCTGGGCCCTCAAGTACCCACAGTCTTTTGAAGGAGAGATTGTGATGTGCGAGCAGAGATATAAATGCATTTGTTAGGCCTGGCGCGGTGGCTCACGCCTGTAATCCCAGCATTTTGGGAGGCCGAGGCAGGCAGATCACGAGGTCAGGAGTTCGAGAACAGCCTAGCCAACATGGTGAAACCCCATCTCTACTACAAATACAAAAATTAGCCGGGCGTGGTGGCATGCACCTCTAGCCTCAGCTACTTAGGAGGCTGAGGCAGAAGAATCACTTGAACCTGGAAGGCGGAGGCTACAGTGAGCCGAGATCATGCTGTGTGACAGAATGAGACTCTGTCTCAAAAAAAAAAATGCATTTTTTTGCTGTCCCTGTACTGAGAAATGAATTAGGTGGGAAAATTCAGTATACTGTGGCTGGAATGCAATGGGGAGGAGTGGGAGGCAGAGGTAGAGGCAGAAGAGAACCTCCCATTGCTTTACTGATGATGCTGGAGGCTTTAGTGCATGTTAGGGAGGGGAGTGAGTCTTCAGGAACCATTCCATTTGCCATCTTTGGTGGCATCTTGATAATATTTTGGCGATTATCTCCCCTTCTTGGAAACAGTTGAATTTCCCAGTGATTTCCATAAAAGGTACAGGTGTGTGAGACACTGATCCCCTGCGTCCTGGTTGGGGAGGCAGTGTTCAGCAGTCACTTATGGCCAGAAGTAGCCTTAAGATAAGGAAGAACAACTTATCCTTTCACCCCATCATGTCTTATAAGTGAGGTATCCTTTGTGTGTCAGAATACAAAATCAATTGAGAAACAAGGCATCCAAGCCCTGAGGGACTCTTTATCAAGGCATCCTGACCTCCATGGTCGACAGGGAGGGAACCTGATCAAGGACAGAATCCAATCAACGTCAACAGAAAATTCGCTTACTAGAACTTAATTCATGAGCAGTGTCCAGGACTAAGAACATTTTCTCCAGTGGCAGCACCTGGATGAGGCTGCTGAGGAGTTCTTGCTACCGACAACCTCTGAAGCTCCTGCCCGGCTTGTCTTTTCCAAATCTAAGTTTTCCACCTCTCCTCTTACAAGCTCCCTTTAATTCCTCCAATAGATTCTCTTTTTCATTTAAGTTAACCCATCAGTATCTGTTGCTTACAACCAAGGAATGCTAACCAATTCTGTGGTTGCTGTGTTGCATGATATGTGGTTGTGTGTGTGTGTGTGTGTGTGTGTGTGTGTGTGTGTGTGTGTGTGTAGGTAGTTTTGTTCTGTGTAACTTAAGGTCCCAAACACCCTTTGTACCTGTGAAAGCTGAAGCCCTTTGCCCTCTCACTCTCATCTCCATTCTTCCTTCCCAGTTTCTAAACCTTCCTCTAAAGTCCTTGGGGGCCAGAAGATGGGGTGGGAAGCAGCTATGAACCCTGATCCACCTCTCAGAGGTGTGCTGGCAATTATAGGGCTGGTGACTGAGCACTGGGGAAGGTAGGAACAGGATCTACAAGAGGATGGGGAAGCAGAAATACATTTCTGGGGCCTGGGGGCTCTGGGGACTTTGCTACATCTCATGGAATGATCCTAAGTTGGTCTGCCCTTTAGGGTGGGAGGCAACTTTTTCTTTTCCCTCCGGGTCTGAGTCCACCACTCTTGGTTGCCATACTGGGAGGTTAGGAAGGAGTTTCTACCCGTCTTTAAAGAAGCCACTTAGCTCAAGACAACCAGGGGTGATATATAGAGATGAGCAATATAGCTGGTATTTACTATTGAAAACACATAAGTGCAAATATTTGGCTAAGTGTTTATTTGCTAGTGGAACTTTTTAAATGGTTGAATGGAGCCCAAGTGTCAGCGTGGGGAGTTTGATTTAAAACAAACCGAAGAAGTGTTTCTCCACAGTTATGAGCTTGGAGAGCTTCATTTCTTTGGCTCTGAAATCCGCAGTGGGCTCTGTTTCTCAATTCCAGACAGCCTCATGGGGAGCCCCACCCTGGTGGGCTCTTCCTGCCTCTGCAGCCAGCAAGGCGAGGGCCTCGTCTCCTCTCACCAAAACCGGATCCCAGCCCCCTTCAGGCCTAGTGCAGAGCTTGGAATGATGAGAAACATCCTCTATGCCTCTGGGTGTGTTCTGTTATGGAGCAGCCATTGGGGGCGGCTAGCTCTGAGCATCACTCTGGCAATGACCAACCGTCTACAGATCCAGACCCATCCGCCTGTCTTGCCTTCTCCCTTTCTTACTTGTTTTTTTTCTCCCCATGTGATATTCAGTGCTTGTGAAGTGCATGACTCTTGCTTTTAACTCTGAGCAGCTGGGGGCAGGGAAGGGCGAGACTGTCCTTTGGTAAAGTGTCTCCCGACCACACATCTTCTCTCCCAGGAATAAAACAGTCCAGCATCTCCTGGGTCTGAGCAGCTGGGGTCAGGGAAGGGTGAGACTGTCCTTTGCCAAGGTGTCTCCCAACCACACATCTTCTCTCCCAAGAATAAAACAGTCCAGCATCTCCTGGGTCTGAGCAGCTGGGGTGAAGGAAGGGTGAGATTGCCCTTTGCCAAGGAGTCTCCCAACCACACATGTTCTCTACCAGGAAGAAAACAATCTAGCCTCTCCTGGATCCCTACCATGTGCCAGGCTCCATGCAGGGCACTTCCTCATTCCTCATCTTGGTTCACTCCTACAGCAAAGGAGATGATCGTCTCCATTTTACAGAGGAGGAAACTGGGGCTTAAAGATGAGCTAGGGTTGGTCTGAAGTCATAGAGTTGGAAGGTGGCAGAACAAGACTTGAGCATGGATTTGTTGAACTCTAAAGTCTACACTCTTAGCCAAGTGTGGTGGCTCACGCCTGGAATTCCAGCACTTTGGGAGGCCGAGGCGGGCGGATCACCTGAGGTCAGGAGTTCTAGACCAGCCTGTCCAACATGATGAAAACCTGTCTCTACTAAAAATACAAAAAATAGCCAGGTGTGGTGGTGGGCGCCTGTAATCCCAGCTACTGGGGAGACTGAGGCAGGAGAATCGTTTGAACCAAGGAGGCAGAGGTTGCAGTGAGCTGAGATCACACCATTGCACTCCAGCCTGGGCAACAAGAGTGAGACTCCATCTCAAAAACAATAATAATAATAATAATAATAAAGTCTACACCCTTTTTTGCTCCCTCCTCCTGCATTTTCTGGCTTTCTGGGCCATTATGCTGACAAGGACTCAAGGCCTGTGAACGTCAAAGAAGACAAGCAGGGGCTCATCTATCAAAACCCTTGGTTCTTAAGAAGGATGGCCGTCCACAGCTCGGGCAGAGCAGAGCCCATTCTGAACTGCTGGCTTCCTCTATAGCAGGATCCAAAACTCCAAGACACTTGCTGGGCACAATCAGGGGTCAGCTGCTATTGTCATCCCCTCTTCAAATTCATTCTGCTCAAGAAAATCGGCCAACAGAGAGGAAAGAGCTTAGGCGCTTGCCCTGTTGTCCCCTGGAAACATTCCTCCCTCCCTCCTATATTCCCACCTGGGCTTCTGAGGCTACAGGCCTAGATACATAACTGGGAACAATTACATACCATCTCTGAGCCTCCAGGGCCTCCTCTGTAAAGTGGGGATAATCAGGCCTCCAAGCAACATTTTCTTTTTTTTAAGATGGAGTGTCGCTCTGTTGCCCAGGCTGGAGTACAGTGGCATGATCTCAGCTCACTACAACCTCTGCCTCTTGGGATCAAGCTACTCTCCTTGAATCGCCTCAGCCTCCTGAGTAGCTGGGATTACAGGTGCCCGCCACCACACCCAGGTAATTTTTGTATTTTTAGTAGAGATGATGTTTCCCCATGTTGGCCAGGCTGGTCTCAAACTCCTGACCTCATGTGATCTGCCTGCCTTGGCCTCCCAAAGTGCTGGGATTACAGGTGTGAGCCACTGTGCCCGGCCAGAAGCAGCAGGATTAAATAAGAGGTATTAAATAAGAGGACATCTTGCAAGACAGTGTAGACACTAAGTAGTCACTCGAAAAAGTGTTACACTCCCCCACACTGCCACCACCACACACACGCACATGCACACATGCTTCCCCTGAATCACATACAGGAATATCCGGTTCTTAAAAGGGAAGGAAAAGTCCACACCTCCGGTCTAAGGCAGCTGCCCACACTCACCTGAAAGATTGAATAGTCAAAGCCAGTCCTTTACCCCTTGCAACTCTGCAAATTGCAAGCAAACAAGGCTGCTCATGATAGGCAGCCCTGGAGTTCGGCCAGATTCCTGAGGGAGAGAAAAAACATCACACTACATGTCCAGGAGACAGTTCCCAGAGAGAAACTGTTCTTACTGAGGGACCACTGACTTGCCTCTGCTGGTCTGACCTGAGTATTTTGGCAGGAAACCCCTCTGCAATGAAGCATCCTTGACTGCAGGGACTTCAGTTCCTCACAACAGGCCTGCTAGGTGCTGAGGAGGCATCTCATCCCCCATCTCACAGAAAGGGAAACTGAGGCTCAGAAAAGGTGAGCAACCAAGTGAAGTTCACAAAACAATTCAAGATCAATACTCTATCCCCCAAGACTGGGGCAGATCCACATTTCCGGAAAGGAAAGTTTGATAAAGTATACTGGGTGTAGGCTGGGCACAGTGGCTCATGCCTATAATCCCAGCACTTTGGGAGGCTGAGGCGGGCAGATCACCTGAGGTCAGGAGTTCAAGACCAGCCTGGCCAACATGGTGAAACCCCATCTCTACAAAATACAAAAATCAGTTGGGCGTACTGGTGCATGTCGGTAATCTCAGTTGCTCGGGAGGCTGAAGCAGAATAATCACTTGAACCCAGGAGGCAGAGGTTGCAGTGAGCCAAGATCGCGCCACTGCACTCCAGCCTGGGCGAAAGAGCGAAACTCCGTCTCAAAAAGCAAACAAACAAACAGAAAAGCATAAACATAAAGCATAGCAAAAAGAGAAACAGGTTTCATTTTAATTATACAAATTACGAAAAGTCAGACAAATGTGGTATTGGACATCAGTTAAAAGAGAATTAAGAAATCTTCCTTTAGACAGTGGGGATAAGTAATCCAATAAGAATTATGTAAAAACCGGCCGGGCGCGGTGGCTCAAGCCTGTAATCCCAGCACTTTGGGAGGCCGAGACGGGCGGATCATGAGGTCAGGAGATCGAGACCATCCTGGCTAACACGGTGAAACCCCGTCTCTACTAAAAAATACAAAAAACTAGCCGGGCGAGGTGGCGGGCGCCTGTAGTCCCAGCTAGTCGGGAGGCTGAGGCAGGAGAATGGCGTAAACCCGGGAGGCGGAGCTTGCAGTGAGCTGAGATCCGGCCACTGCACTCCAGCCTGGGCGACAGAGCGAGACTCCGTCTCAAAAAAAAAAAAAAAAAAAAGAATTATGTAAAAACCACTCTACTTTTTTGTGAAAAGAAGTCTTTCCTCCCTTTCCTCTCCTCTTTCCTCCCTGCCCCCTCCCCACATTCACACAATTGTTCTGCAGTTGTTTCAAATGAGGGAGAGAATGAAACAACACATAATTAAAACGATGACACATTCATATTTTTCCTAATACTCTTTTCTAATTGAAGCATCATCCAACTTTATGTCCTATGTAGGTTTTGTTTTCCATGTGAAGAGAAAACAGAGATACAATCATTTTCCCAGCATCATACAGCAACTTAGTATCAGAAACTTCTAGTCCAAGTGATCTCTAACATTAAAAGCCCTTGCTTTCTCCACCATTCTTCTACCTACCCTTGAGACTCCCAGTGGGGCCCTGGTCAGACTCGCTTCTGGATTTTCAATATTCTTAGCAGAAAAACATGCCTGGATGTATAATTACACTGATTATGTGTATATTGCATGTATATGCATATATGTGTATATGCACACATATATGTATCTGTAATATATGTTTGTATATTTAAATATGTATATAATACATATACACACATATGTAATATCTAGTTCAAAAATCTTACATCTTATACATATACCTACATATGTGTGTGTTTAAAAGACAACTCTTTGGAAATGAGGAGGAAAAAGGAAAAGAGAATGCATAAGAGGAAGTGTGTGAGGGAGGAAGAGAAGAAAAAGGAGACAGAAAAGGAAGAGGAAGAGTCAAGAGAAAAAAAGAGGGGTAGGTGAGTGAAAGAATTGCCAGAAGAAGAAATAGAGAAAGTGAAGATGAAGACATCTCTTCTCAGCAAAATAAATAGCCGTACCCACTCTGAGGCCATTAACTTGCCAGAAATTGTCAGGCGGCTCCTCGGGCCCAAGAAAGCATATTCAGCTGGTGAGGACTCCTCAAAGCCTGCCTTGCTGAGGAGCCACAGACTCCAAGACCCTTGTTCCGTGTCTGCCGGAAGATGGAGATGACATGGGAAGGGATATGGGTGTAGCTGATGGAGAAGGCGTGTGCTCGACCCAGTTCAGGAATGCTGGAGAGCTGCCTGCTCCAACCCTCCCTTCCTGAAGCTGTTCAGGGCACCCTCCAACCCAGGCACCTCATGTCCAGGTGTCCACATGTCATCAGTTTCTCCCTGGGCCTGGCCTGAGGGGCTTCTTCCCCACTCTCCTTGTGTACCTGGAGACGTAGCCCGGCAACCTCATCATGTCTGTTTCCCCATCTGTAGCTTGGGCTTTGGGATAGTAAGAACACTATATTGGACTGTGCAGGCTGCTATAAGAGAATACCATCAACTGGGTGGCTTAAACACAATAGACATTTACAGATCCAGGATCTAATTTGGGCCCACTTCCTGGTTTCTACACAACCATCTTCTTGCTGTGTCTACACATGGTAGAAGGGACAAGGGAACTCTCTGGGGTCTCTTTTAGAAGGGCACTAACCCCATTCATGAGGGTTCCAATATCATGGCCTAATCACCTGCCCAAGGCCCCATCTTCTCATTCCATAACATCGGGGATTCATTTTCTACATGAAATTTTTTGGGGAGACATAAACATTCCATCCATAGCAAGTATCCACCACACCAGTAGTCATGAAGAGTAAATGAACATGCAGACACAACTTGGCCCTGAGTCAGCCCCAATAGCTACCAGTCCTTGTTGTTCTTATTATTACCTGGGCTGAATCCACTTGTCTGGTTCGCATAGCTATGGCTTTGTTTTATTACGGAGCAAGGTTCTTGGGTTGTCAATCTGAAGCTGATTGTGCACTGAAGACTCCAGGTCTTACGTCTAAGGAAACCAGATATGGGATTTCTGGCATTTGGGGGCTGATGAGAGGGAGAAAGACTGTATTCACTTAGAGGACATTTATTGCAGACCTACTGTGTGCACACTCCTGTCCACATGCTCAGCAGTGCCTGTACAAATAAGGGACAAGGAGAAGCACCCAACACCCCTTCCAAAACTTTCTTCCTCCTTTCTCTTTTTAAAAAATTACTTATGTATCTCTCCATCTCTCTAAATAAACTGTTAGTTCCTTGAGGCCAGGGGCTATGCCTTGCTCCTTTTTACCTCCCACAACATGTGGCACAGAATAGACACTTAATAAATACCTGCAGATGAGCAAGGTGGCTCAAGTCTGTAATCCCAGCCCTGTGCGAGGCCAAGGTTGGAGGATCGCTTGGGGCCAGGAGTTCGACACAAGCCTGGGCAACATAGCAAGCCTTTGTCTCTAAAAAAAAAAAAAAAAACTGGGTGTGATGGCCCTATGGTCCCAACTACTCAGGAGCCTGAAGCAGGAGGATCTCTCATTCTCTTTTTTTTTTTGAGATGGAGATTTTGCTCTGTTACCCAGGCTGGAGTGCAATGGCATGATCTCGGCTCACTGCAACCTCCGCCTCTTAGATCCAAGCGATTCTCTTGCCTCAGCCTCCTGAGTAGCCAGGATTATAGGGGTCTGCCACCACACCTAGCTAATTTTTTTATTTCTTGGTACAGACGAGGTTTCACCATGTTGGCCAGGCTGGTCTCGAACTCTTGATCTCAGATGAACCACCCACCTCAGCCTCCCAAAGTGCTGGAATTACAGGTGTGAACCACCAGGCCCAGCCAGTAGGAGGATCTCTTGAGCCCAGAAGGTTGAGGCTGCAGTGAGCCTTGATGGGGCCACTGCACTCTAGCCTGGGCCACAGACCGAGAACCCATCTGGATAGACAGATGATAGATAGATAGATAGATAGATAGATAGATAGATAGATAGATAGATAGACAGATAGATCAATAGAAAGATATCTGGAAAATAAGCCAACAACAAAACAATGAGAGTCCCAGGTGCAGGTCTCTAGTGGAGACGGGGAAGACCCCCCTTATCTCCCATCACCATCAGAAACTGTGAGCAGCATCTTAGTCAAGTGCAAAGATCTTGGACTGTGGATGCAATCACACTGTGATCCCTGAGTCGCTGTGTGACTGGGACAAGTGACTCCGGATATTTGAGTTTGTTTCCTCATCTTTCAAATAAAAATATACCCCGTAGTTGTTGGAAGGGGGAAACAAGAGAATTAGATGGTGGCACTTGAAGTATAGAAGGGCTCTATCTAGCACCCCTCTTTTCTGTGCCTTTCTCTAGATAACAACAGCACAGAGCCCAACTCCTTCAACAAACTGATGAAACTAAAAGGACACCAGGTCACCCAAGAAGTAACTAGCTTCATCCTACAGGAAATACACCCTTTCGGAATTTTGCAGGAATGCTTTGGGGATATACGGTTTTAAGTCAATGGCATTTTCATAAAATAACAACAGTATTCTGGTGGTTGCTGTAAACATACATTACATCTCACTGAATCTTTGTATCAGTTCCATGGAGTAGTTGTCCATAGAGGAGGGGACGGAGTTCTTAAACACTCACCCAAATTTGCACAGCTCATGGTGAAGGAGCCAGGATTAGAACATTCCCTTGTGGATCCGTCTGATTCTAAAGTATACTCTCTTTCTCCTCCACCCCATGGCATCTGTCCATATATGTCGAAATAACTTTTGATTTTCATCAGGAGCTGCAGTCAGAAGATGAAGGAATGAAAATGGGGTGGGGCAGGGTGTGCGGGAAAGGGGGCCAAGAATCCCTGCCCTTTCTAAAATGAGTAGAAACATTCCAACTCCATTTTTACTGTCTATTGCATTGTAAGAGCACAAAGGCCTCAGCCAAACCCCTAAATATTTAAAGAGTAACAGAACTCCAGATTAAATTAATATCCACGTTCAAACAGTAGCTGCAATGGGGCAATTGCCAAGTTATTTCTACCCTCATGAGAAAGGAAAGAAAGAAAATATTAGCCGGGACCTTCGATCTGGAGCACTGAAATCAGATCCCAACAGGGCAATTCTGTGCTGGAGAGCTTTAGCACAATCAAATCTTTTCATGTTTCAACTCAGCCTACTCCTTTCTCACTGGGCTCCTGGCTAACAGCTTCCCTCCAGCGACAATGAATTGGTACCAAAGTGATCTGGACTGTTTTGACACTAAGCATCAATTCCACAGACTCGGTTTTCATCGACAAATCAATTATTCTAGCTCATTACAAGGCCAGAGTGAGTTTTCCCATCAGAATAGAAACTTTCATTCATACTGCCTTTCATTTGCCCAGGAAGGAAAAACAAAGGAAGGCAGGAGGGAGCTATGCTCAAGTTATTAGAGAATGCCCACATGTTTTCTCCCTGGGACAGAACCCAGAGAGATGAAATGTCACTGAGCCAACTATGCAGAGTTCCAGGAGGAGGATTTGGGCTTCCTGAGAACAGCCCGATCTGTCTGCCTCATCTCCATCTCAGAGCCACCAAGAGGCACCCCTGACAGAAGCTTCAGACTAGCAAAGAGAGAGGAGCAGGTTGGATTGGCAGAAGGTGAAATCAAGCCACAGAGGAAAGCTGTGGGATAAAAGCTGTATTAGATTCCAGCCCTTCTCCTGCAAGGAGACAATCACCCCAATACCATAAGTGGCCCATCAGAGAGAGCACCCTCTATGTACCAGGACCCAAGACAGGCACATGCATTGCGCTCCTCCCAATGCCTTCCACTGGGAGTCAGTATAAGAAGCACAGTCTAGTGCAACAAGGAACTGCTCTCCACTTATTCCCAGTCTGTGACCCCTAAGAGAGGACCCCTGGGAGAAATGACTGTGAGCGACCTCAGTGTCAAGGAAAGTTACTCTCCAGAGAAACCATTTCTTTTGTTTTGTTTTATTTTATTTTTTATTTTAGTATTATTATTATTATTTTTTGAGACAGAGTCTCCCTCTGTCACCCAGGCTGGAGTGCAGTGGCGCGATCTCGGCTCACTGCAACCTCCACCTCCCAGATGCAAGTGATTCTCCTGTCTCAGCCTCCTGCGTAGCTGGGATTACAGGCGCATACCCCTACGCCCAGCTAATTTTTGTATTTTTAGTAGAGATGGGGTTTCACCATGTTGGCCAGGCTGGTCTTGAACTCCTGACCTCAAATGATCCACTCACCTCAGCCTCCCAAAGTGCTGGGATTACAGGCGTGAGCCACCGCAACCAGCCGAAACCATTTTTTAATAGACAACATGAATCTTCTCAGTGAGATCTTCTGCTTTATTCTGGCCAACTAAAAGCTCAGAAACAAATTTACTAAACAACCTTAATAATTGTGCAAGATTCCAAGTTGTGCATGCCTGTGTACTAACCCTGCCTTCGCTTCATATTTCTGTTCGGCTCTTCTTTTCTTTTTGCCATGGTTTCTTCAATACACTACATTTTTAAAAAGAACTGTCTTGTCTCTTGTCTGGAAAGAAAAGAAGTATAAGGGATCAAATCAATCTTCCATTAAATAAATAAACAAAATGCAAACTTCGGTTTTATTCTCACAAAAGCCTGTTGGAACAGTGATCATTGTCCTCAAGTTTTGGCTGAGAAGATTCTGGCACAGACAGCTTAAGTAACTTACCCAAAGTCACACAGCTAATAAGGGACATGGCCAGGATGCTAACTCAAGTTTTTCTGACTTAAAGGCCCATGCTCTTTCCACTGCCCTGTGCTGCCAGATATGACTCCCAAAAGCTTTCCCTGGCCTCTTGATCCAGGAGGTCTCAAGGCCTCAAGACCTTTCAGAGTCCACGAGTCGAGCATAGAACTAGCCACTGCTCCATCTTCTTCTCTTTCACCAGGACAGGACAAGAGGACACAGGTGCAGGCTCCAACTCCACGTCCCAATCCAGCCCAAGCCTGGCCAGTCTTGAGCCAGCATGTCAAGGGCTTGGCGCCTTCATTCTGGAGCCCGCGTGTGCTGGGAGGAAAGCCTCATGCATGTGTTTCTGATTTGCATGCATCCCGCCTGGTCTCCACAGAACCATTCCAAGTCCGAAAAGCTGTGGGAGCCTTTTTTTTTTATACACACCCCCCTTCTCTTCCTATCCCTCTCTCTGACAGCTTTTCTCTTTGAATCAGAGAACTAGACTCTGCCAAGTGAAAATGTAACTCAAACCTCAAAGGGTTCAACAGCCTCTAGAAACTCGCAAGGCACGATCACCCTAGAGATGCAGCGCTCTGCTGTCAGGACTCCCACTGGGCACAGCTCTCTGCCTGCCAGAGGGTGGGGTGGGGGCAGGGGGAGACTGCACTAGGGTCTGGGTATTTTTAGTTGATAATGATTCTAAATGGCCTTGTGCCTTCGGCCTAGAGGTAGAAGTGATTTCTCCACTTTATAGGCAAGGAAGCAAGATTCTGAGAGTTTAAGACCGTTTTATTTATTTAGTGCCTACTATGTGCTGAGTGCTATACATATGCATCTCTCCATCCTCATAGTAATCCAGGAAGGGAGGTGGGAGCTTCCAAGGGGATGCTATCTTCCCTTCATCACACAGCTGGTAAGAAGTGAAGTCTGAACTCAAACCCAGGACTATGTGATTTCAAAGAATTTTTTGCCACCATGCAGCAGGGCATCCAGAGAAGGTGGGAGCACCCCAAGAGCCGTTAGCAGGGAAATGGGTACACGCACTTGAAATCACTCAATATTTCCCCCGAGCATCACAAACAAGCAAAAGATTCGCCAAGCCAAGCCTGTTATCTACCTACCTCCCAGGGAGGAATTGAGCGTTCCCAGCAGGTGAGTTTATCTGGGAATGGCTTTCTCAAGGAGGTGAGTCCCAGGCTGGACTGCGGAGAATGGGGAGCAGCAGCCATTGGGGGCAAGCTGCTAAAGTGAGTGGTGTTTGTCTTTGAGAACCCTTTCCTGAGTCACCACCACCACCGCTGCCACCAAGACTGGCTACATCATTTCCTGGCATAATACCAAATGAAAATGTGGGGCCTCTTGTTCAAAAACTATTCTATTCAGAATGGTGACAGGAGAACATTAGCCAAGCACAGAGCCCTGTGTAGCTGCTCAGGAGGATGCCCGTGAAGCAGGCCCTCGGTGACTCCCTTCACATCCACTTCACAGCCTAGGAGGCACCTTGCAGATTATCCAGTCCCAGAAGCCCAGAGGGACTGCACAAGGTTTAGGAGCTCATAGGTGGCCTGGCAGGCACCATCACCAACATACCTGTCTCCCCATCTAGGGCTCTCTCCAAATATACCATTGCCTACCCAATCTGATCTCAAGCAGGCTTGTAAATACCTGTAGATTTAATTCCACTGCAGGACAAAAAGTGATACTCATTCACAACCAAGTGCGAATAATCAGTACCAGTTTAAACTGTGACCCTCCCACAGGGATTTTCATTTTCACAGAGATCAAAGCTTTAAGCTCAAGAAATACACTTCACTTGGTGGCCCTTTAGGCATCAAAGAGTAGATGAGGAGGGGTGCTGGGGACAGAATAGATAAGGCATTTACCTGTGCCACCCATGGGTCAGGCCAGTCCCAGAGAGGCAATACATAGAGAGACCTGGTGCTAGATCTTAGGGACCCCTGCTGGCCTCTCACAGTGGCTCAAACAAGGACTTAATTTTCATCACGAGGTCTTACTCCGGCTACTGGCCACTGCACTCTCCACCACAACAAATCTCTCTCTATGCGAAGCAAGGCCTCCCACAACTTTGGCTTTTCCCCCAACCTTGGTATGGAATCAATTCTTTCCCAAAACCAGAGGTGAAGAAGGAAAGGAGAGAGGAGGAGGAAATAGGATGGAGAGCAGATGAGAGGAAAGAAAGGGGTGACAGAAGAAAGGAAAAACATTCATTTTGCTTTTAATTGATTGTAAGCTTCATAAGGACGGAGACCATAGCTGACTTATTCCCCCAGAGTCTAAGGCAACAAAGGCAGTCAGTCAATGCCTGATATACTGTAGGTGCTCAATAAATATTATGGATGAGGGAACAGTTGGACTGATAGCTGGTGTGTGGATGCATGGGTGGATGCATAGGTGTACATGTAGATGGATAGACATGTGGATGGATGAGTGGATGGATGGATGGATGGATGGATGGATGCATGGATGCATGGATGAACTGATAGTGAGTCCATAGGTGAATGGATGAAAGGGTGATGAACAGTCATATACATCAATGGGTTAATGGATGGATAGGTGGATAGATGGGTCAGGGGGTGGATGAAATGCTGGTCCCTGTGTTAGATACTTTTTGTTTATTTATGTCTTTTTATGCTTCAAACACTGCCTTGAATTCCCTTTGAACAAAGTAGAGGTTTAAACAAGTAAACTATCCCTCATTAGCTCTGTGAGTTAAGTATTGTGATTATCCTGTAATTCAGACAGGGAACCCATGACTCTGAGAGGCGAAACATCTTGTGCAGGGTCACCTCTTTTCTAGCTAGGAGGGGGCTCAGCCAGGTCCCAAATCTTGATCTGTATAAGTTGACCCAAAACTCTCTCCACTGCACTAGCATGCTAAAGAGGCTGAGCATTCACCTGGGGGCATTCCACAGCATTTTCTACTTCAACTTAACCCTGAACCTCTGAGCCCCAACATTTGCTCCACCCTCAAGGACACAGGCACACTCAGTATCTTTTCCAATAACATTCATTTACACTCCTTGATACATCACATTTCTTTTCTGGAATATTCCAACTAACACTTCTTGTCCCTCAGAGATGAGCAGACCAGGCTGGGTAAGGCAGGGCATGAAGTCTTTTTAACACAAAACCAAATCATGTAAGTAAGGGCAGTGTCCCAGTGGTCTGTCAGCTCAACTTTCTGCTACTCTGATTCTGATTCTGATCTCCATACCCCAAATGCACATAAATACAAAATTATGTACACACACAGACTCCATGTGTGTACATAATTTTGCTTTTATTGATTGTAAGCTTCATGAGAACAGAGACCATAGCTGATTTATTCCCCCAGAGAACAAGTGGTCTAATTCATTGTGTTGTGGTATTCAGTGTTTTGTGCATGTCAACTCTTCATAGTCCGATGCCTAGGCTCCACAAAGTCATATAAACTCTGACTCTATCTTTGTGAGCATGGTATGCAGCTTCTAAGAAGTCTCCCAAAGGTCTTGCCTCCTGAAATTTATGACCTTTTAAAATTCCCTCCCCTTGAGCAAGAGTTGGATCTAGTGACTTTCTTCTAGTGAATACAGTATGGATGTCCCTTCCAAGATTAGGTTACCAAAAGATTCTGGCTTCTGCCTTGTTCGCCTCCTTTGGCTTCTTGCTTGTTCACTCTCATTGCAGGCCAGCTCCCATGTTTATGAAGCAAGGCAGCCTCAGCCACCAGCCAGTGAGGAACTGAGACTCTCAGTCCAACGGCCTGCAAGGAACTGAATCCTGCCAACAACCTCCCGAGTGAGATTGGAAGCAGATTCTTCCCCCTGAGCCTTGAAATGCCCCAGCACCCGGGACCCTGGGCCAGAGGACTCTGCTAAGCCACACCCAGAATCCTGCCCCACAGAAGCTGTGAAATAATAAATGTTTGTTGCTTTAACCACTGAATTTAAGGGGAGGGGGTAATTTATTATACCAGCGTAAATAACCACACCAGCAGAGATATCTAATACTAACAACTAATCTGATACCTACTGAACATTTGCTCTTTTCCAATAACTCTAAGGGAAAAGAGAGATGATCTACTCCGTACCCTCTAAATACTTTCAATCTGTGAGTCAGCTAGTAAGAAAAGATCATTATAATTCACCTAAAATTATGGTAAAGTTGTTATTCATTGGCAGAGTAAACAAACAAGGCAAGTCACATGGCCAAACCCAAAGTTAAGGGGAAGGGAAATATAGTCCCACCTCTTTGGTGGGAGGAACTGCAAACTCACGTGACAAAGAACATAGATACAGGA